CATATGCAAATAGTTATCACTATCGTTTGCATATCAACATGTATTATTCCAATGTTAGTGTTTGCAGACCCATGATTCAATGCCTAGTAGAAATTTAAAACTAATCTCATACAATGTGCAGAATAATGTAGCAAATACATCAAAGAATTATGAAGTAGTGATAAGTAGTGTCATATAAACCTATGTAATATGCAGTGCATTACATGGATATCTAGTAAAGTTGTATATTTCATAATCTATTCATATTATATATCAAGTGATTGATTTTATATGAAAAGAACACTGAGGATAAATGGAACATCTTCCAACAAATATTAGAAAGGCACATTTCTGAGTATGTACCATTGGGAATTAAATATAAAAGAAACAAATTGAAACCAATGTGGCTTAGTAGAGAAGTAAAACAAGAGATTAAACATAAGAAAAGGGCTTTTAAAGCATTTAAATCAGAGGCATCCTATAAAAGATATAAGGAAGCCAATAATGCGTGCAAAAAGGCGATTAGATTCGCTAAACTTCAAAATGAAAAAAAGATAGCCAAATAGAGCAAAATCAACCCCAAAGCGTTATTTAAGTACATAAATTCTAAATAGAGAACACCTATCAGGGAGAAGGTGTCAGGTTACTCTGAAGTAGGGGGGGGGGGGGATAACCCCCAGATCAATAAACTAAAGTATAAATAGAAGAAACAAAAGGGTGAACCATTTAGCAGGTGAACCCTTCTGAAAGGCGAGTAACCCAGTAAAACGTAACTTTTAATAAATATAATCTAAAAAATGGGTTGTAATAGCTAAATAGCAATAAATGGTAGGAATAAGCAGAATCAATATAACTTCTGCTTAAATAGGAATAAAGAAAGCTCCTAGATAATAATAAGGAAGTGTAACCATATTAAATAAATAACAAAGAGAAATAACCGAAAGAAAGAAATAATATGAATGCAATGATATCACACAGTGAATCAGAGGTGGTCAGAAGCTTGAGTAAATACTGCAAAAAGTAGATACAAAATAACAGCAAATGTGACCGCTAGCTGAAAGTCACATATGTTGTTAGTCTAATGTACAAGGAGGGGGAGAAAAGATAAATGCAGTTAGAGTAAATAGTAGCAGAACAAAAAGCCCTGCACAAGAATGTTTATATAGAAAGGAGAGAAAGCTAATAAAAGAGAAACTAGCTTCCCTACTCTGCTGTGCCTTTGAGGGCACCCCTTAAAAAATAACTAGTAACCACCTCCCCTCATCTAGGTAAAGTAATACAGTACGTAAAGAAACCACAGAGCGAATAATGAAAATGATAAATGAAGAATAGAAGTGAGAATACAAATAAAATAATATAAGGTAAAATAAAATAAATCTAGTATGGGTGGTATAATCTAATATGTCAAAGCTTGTCTTCCCTTATCATAGAACCCACTCCATACAAATAACGTCCCGGCGCGCGTTTCACCGTTAAGGCTCTTCCCCTTTCCCTGGAGTCTCTACGTAGAGACTCGAACAACAAATTAAAGGCATTTCTGAAGACATTAAGGAAGAACATAACACAAAATAGTTACGATATACACACACAGAGATAGATAAACCACCCTAAAAAGTGTACTTCACAAACACTTCAAAAATACTGAGATAATACTAAGATAAAAAATTATTATATACGCCCCTGGGGAATGGGGAAGTATATAATGGGGTAGGGGTAGGGGGTAGGGGGTTATGGACTACACCCAGATAGGAACAATACAACCTGTGTGTCCACAATCTGATATAGTATAAATCTACAAATACAAAGGACAATATATGGTGAAGTACACTTACATACAAATAAAAGGACAAGCTTGTCTCCACTGACAAGTGGATCGAGTGTGTAGACATCCAATTACATTTATATTTCTTTTGTTTTTATATATTTTTTATATGTTAAATTGTCCAACATCTTTATCTTCCATCTTGAATTGGATATCTACACACTCGATCCACTTGTTATTGGAGACAAGCCTGTCCTTTTATTAGTATGTAAGTGTACTTCACCATATATTGTCCTTTGTATTTGTAGATTTATACTATATCAGATTGTGGACACACAGGTTGTATTGTTCCTATCTGGATGTAGTCCATAACCCCCTATGTAAGTAAGTATGTAAGTGCAACTTGTAATTCAATTTTGTATATTTTAAACAATTTTGCACTATTCTGTACCTTCTGCTTTCTTGAGGTTTGTGGCTCCATAGATAAGATCCTCATCATTTTTAATACCCTTGAGGGGAGACAGGTGCATTATTCCTTACATTTTGTAAGTACTCTACCTCGTGGAGCTGTTTTTTATCCTTATGTACTTCACCATATATTGTCCTTTGTATTTGTAGATTTATACTATATCAGATTGAGGACACATGGGTTGCATTGTTCCTATCTGGGTGTACTCCATAACCCCCTACCCCATTATATACTTCCCCATTCCAGGGGTGTATATAATAATTTTTGTCTCATTAAGGAAGAACAAATGGAAACATTCCAAAAATAAATTTTAGCCCTATTTTTAGATCCATTGGATATGGATAAATTCCTATTTGAAAGAAAGATGCCATAGAATAAGGAAACCTCCCCATATCAAAGTTGAACAACCCAGAGACATCATCAAAAGATTCATAAATTGTAAATTCAAAGATCTTCTCTTACAGAAAATTAGGGAGAATCCGATAAAGGAACAGAAATTTGCAGGACTGCAAGTATATCCAGATCTTTCGGCAGCTACGAGACTTCAAAGGAATTTTTTTTAGACATCACTCTAAGGCTAAGGAACTTGGTGATTCCCTATAAATGGGGATTCCCAACGAAAAGTATAATATATAAGGATAGAAAGAACATTTACATCACTGGTCCCCAGGAAGATCTGTTAAAGTTGGGATAAAATAAATTTGTAGACTCCCTCTTTTTTTTCATCACATTGTAAGGATTTTTTTAATGTTGAATATGCACAATATAATGACATTTCACGATAAATCACTAGGAGAAGGAATAAAACATATTTTCTGAAATGTTATAAGACAAAGAAAGGAAGTGATCCCTAGACTTTAACTTTTGGTAAAGATTATCTAATATGGATCAAAGCACTATATAAAGATATTTTACTATAAATTATCAAGAGAGGGGGGAAGATTCACTTTCTGGAAAGTCACTAGAAATTATATGTATACTTGATTTAACTATTTTAATATTTTAAGACAATTAAGATAGGCTTTTTTCTCACAAAAGGAATTTGGACTCAAAATCAAACGTGATTCATGAGTGTTTCTATCACAAAGTCACTATAGTTGGTTTTGTGAGGACTCTCTAATGTTGAACAATGCACCATATAAAGATATGTCACATTATTCATTAGTAGAAGAAAGATTAGAAATTTGTGTTATATCATGAGATGAGGATAAGATTTAAAGGTTTGATAGAACAACCTAATATTTAAAGAGAGCTAAGATGGATAGTGAGTATATATAAAAATTTTCTTTTTTTTCTGAAGAGGGGAAGATATTTGATTAAGGAAGGGGTAAAAAGCAGAAAGGGGAAAAGAGAACAAATTACATAGTTAGAGAAACGTTAGAAGGAGGGGGATTAACGATAAGGTACATAGATGAATGGCTTTCTCTCCTCCTTTACCTATATTGGTACATTCTTTCAGCAACTGTTTCCTAACTAACTTAGGTTTAGACATTTATCCTATTTATTTAGAGGGAATAGTACGATTGTATAAACGGGTGAGATAGTATGTCAAGGTTATACAAGTGGAAAGTAGATAGGGGGAATCATAGATGTAATTGCCTTTCTTTTTTTGTATAGTGTTGTTTTTTATTTTTTGTCTTTTGTATGTTTTTTTTTTTTTATTGGGTTGTTGGCACCCCATATAAGAGGTCTGAAGTTGAAGTAAAAAAAGATACATATACTGTTTTTTTAATATAGGATCAATTAATGCGCAGGGATTAAATACCCCACGTAAAAGAAGTTCCCCATATGATATGCTGCAAAGGAATAAACTAGATATATGTTTCCTTCAAGAAACTTACTGAAAATACGATTCAGAGATAAACTGGAAATACTCTACATATGAAATCAAGGGTTATTCCTCATTATTGAATAATAAAAAGAGAGGTGTGGCAATTATGTCTTCCAAGATTAAGTAATTCTTAATTCTTATCTGTAAGATTGAAGATAAAATATATATTTTAGTAAATATCTATGCCCCAATGTATTCTCTAAAAACTTTTTTTTATTTTTTTAAATCTTCGATAGATTGGAAAAAATAAAAAAAAGGAGTGAATATATTCCCAGTTGCTTTAATAGATAGAAGTAATAACAAGATAAAGAACGAGTCATCCAGAGCAGTTAAGAAAAAAATGTAAAGCATTTCAAGATCTGCTTATTAATTTGATATTTGAAGGGTTTATAATCCAGGGATGAGGGATTTCTCCTATTTTTCAAAGGTACACAGATCATATTCTAGAATTTATCTATTTTTGACTAATACTCCAAGTTGAAATAATTATTCTAAGTATAAAATAGACAGCTGTGGAGCTGATCAGACGTGTGCAGCACGAGTTCCCAGCTGAAATACTATTTTAATAGAAATAACCCTGACTTTCATGCTACATAATCGCTTAAAACTGCATCACCCAAGTAGGGGCTGCAAAGGAGAGCAATACGAGACCACTCTCGAAGCGCTGAGCCACAGGGAACGCAGGCTGCATTGATGGGGCCTACCGCTGCGATGACTAACCTGATTAGCGGCCTAGACGGAAGTAGAGGCATGGGTGAGGCGGCCAATCACCCAGCCCAGGGCTCCCTAAATGCAGATATAACCACAGTGGAGGACCAGCCACAAGCCTCCCCCCCCTGTCGGTGGGGGATATCCCGGCACCAACAGCATACCCACCACTGACAATCACGTCCCAGAGACTGCATGCATCGGGAGTCACTCACTCTAAAATGGCGGATGCCACGTGACAGTCGGGAAGCATGGGGACATGTGAAGAGCGGTTGAACGACACTATGACTAAGCTGGATGAAATTCTTGCTGGCTTCTGGGCCAGAATTTTGGAGAGGGTGCTGAACGCAGCTACAGCTAGTCGAACAACTCCTGCACTCACACCCCCGGCACTCCCGGGCCCCAGGGGGGGACGCAGAATAATAGCAGCCAGAGGCTCACCAAAGGAGCAGCACAAGCAGAAACGTAGAGCCTGCCACATGACAAGCACTCGCCCCCCCATCAAGCCGCAACAACCTCACAACAAACCAGAGGCACCCTGCCCACCAGGACAGCTCCGATCAGCTGACAAAGCACAGCCTCACCACCACAACTCGGAGACCTGGCACTTAGCCACATACATGCCTCTGATGTCTCAGGAGACAGGGGCTCCCGGGGCGGCATTTGGCGACCGGAGGGGTTCGGGTGAGCACAGGCTGGAGATCGGAGTCTATCAGGCAGATCCCGCCATAGCCGGACTTGCACATCATGCCTAATATCTTACAAACTGCCCTTTGAACATTAGCTAAGCATAAAGTAACAGCCATATAAAATACAGTGCGGTATAAGTGACAAAGACCTACACCTATAAGTGGAGCACTCCACTTATAGGTGTTGGTCTTTGTCACTTATACCGCACTGTATTTTAGATTATTGTTTAGTGGAAAAGTGGATATTTCCACATAATTGTATAGAGCTGCTTGTTAATCATGCTTATTCTTGTTTAAGCACTTTTTGTTACACACATCCCTCCGTGAAAGGAGGTAACTTTGGATTGGTATTCATAAAGTAACAGCCGTTTATAAAATGTCAATACCTTAACTCCTGCAGAGTTCACTGACGTAGTGCTTTACTTATACCTCCTTTAACCGCTCATGCATTACTCCATTTTATCAGTCAGTCCTAACTAATGGGACAACTTAAGCTTGTTAACGTTAATGGTGAAACTTCTGGTATTCTTCTGTAGTTAGCAACGTGTAACCAACACTTTAAACATATAAACTGTCTTTATTAACAGCACAATGCTACATACTTATAAGCCTCAGCGAAACTAGCCTTGTTATATACACTTTTAGCCTAGCATGCTAAAATATAAAAAACATAGCTTGTTATCTTCATGTTATATAAAAAAAATGTGCTTTCTTAAATGCCACACTTATGTAAAATGTTATGAAAAATGCACAAGAAAAATAAAGAATTTAAAATAGACGTGAAAAATGCACCTATTTTTGTTACCATGAAAAAAACAACACACTTTTAATAAGACTTTCTCATGGAGACTTAATGAGAGTTTATTATCAGAAGAGAATTTAAAATATCTATCTAACAGTGCAAAATAATTCTTTAATATACACCCTGTTCCAAATTATTATGCAAATTCTATTTAAGTGTTACAAAGATTAAATATTTTGTTTTTCAGTTTAACTCATAGATGACATTGTGTCTCAGGGCTCTTTTGATTACTGAAAACAATCTCGGACACCTGTGATAATTAGATTGCCAGGTGAGCCCAATTTAAGGAAAAACTACTAAAGGATGGTGTTTCACATTATTAAGCAGAGCACCATTTTTATGCAATATGGGGAAGAAATAGGATCTCTCTTCTGCCGAAAAGAGTGAAATAGTTCAATGCCTTGGATGAGGTATGAAAGCATTAGATATTTCACGAAAACTTAAGCGTGATCATCGCACTATTAAGAGATTTGTGGCTGATTCAGAGCACAGACGGGTTTGTGCAGATAAAGGCACATTGAGGAAGATTTCTGCCAGATCCATGCATTGGATCAAGAGAGCAGCTGCTAAAATACCATTACATAGCAGCAAACAGATATTTGAAGCTGCTTTTGCCTCTGGAGTCCCACAGACATCAAGGTGTAGAGTCCTCCAGAGTCTTGCAACTGTGCATAAAACTTCTATTTGGCCACCACTAACCAATGCTCACAAGCAGAAATGGCTGCATTGGGCAGAAAAATACATGAAAACTAATTTTCGAACAGTCCTATTCACTGATGAGTGTCGTGCAACCCTGGATGGTCCAGATGGATGGAGTAGTGGATGGTTGGTGGACGGCCACTCTGTTCCAACAAGGCTGCGACATCAGCAAGGCGGTGGTTGAGTCATGTATTGGGCTGGAATCATGGGAAGAGAGCTGGTCGGCCCCTTTAGAGTTCCCAAAGGTGTAAAGATGACCTCTGCAAAGTATGTGGAGTTTCTGACTGACCACTTTCTTTCCTGGTACAGAAGGAAGCACAATGCTTTCCGTAATAAAATCATCTTCATGCATAACAATGCACCATCTCATGCTGCAAAGAATACCTCTGCATCAATGGCTGCTATGGGGATAAAAGGAGAGAAAGTTATGGTGTGGCCTCCATCCTCCCCTGACCTCAATCATATTGAGAACCTTTGGAGCATCCTCAAGCAAAAGATCTATGAGGGTGGGAGGCGGTTTACATCCAAACAGCAGCTCTGGGAGGCTATTCTGACATCTTGCAAACAAATTCAAGCAGAAACTGTCCAAAAACTCACAAGTTCAATGGATGCCAGACTTGTGAAGCTGTTATCAAATAAGGGGTCCTATGTTAAAATGTAACGTGACCTGTTAAAATGTTTAAAAAGTTGAAATGTTGTTATAAGTTTGATTAAAATAACTTTTGATTTCAGTAAATATGCTGCAAACACAACAAATGACAATTTTCAGTTCTTTACAACCTATAAAGTGTTTTGAAACTTACTGTGCATAATAATTTGGAACAGTGCATTGTAAGTTTTTAATGTTTAAAAAAAATACTGTTATCATTAGGAGATTTGTTCAATAAATTTGAATTTAACTCTTAATAGTTGATAACATGAGAATTATGCTGACTGTTATTTACATCAATTATTTAGGCAAATGAGAAAAATATAATTTGCATAAAAACAGGGTGTAAATATTAACAAAGAAGTATCAGGATCGACATTATGGCGTACCTTCAAATAATATATGCATGGTTTCCTGATTAAACTAGGAGCAGAAAGGAAAAGAAAATAAGGAAAACAATTAAATGATCTGTATATTTTATTGGCACAAAAAGAAAGTTAAAAAAAACCAAAAAACAATTCTCCTAATCTTAGAGATGATATTAATAAAATTCATATCGAAATTAAAGATAAAATTGAGATTAAATCTCAGAATGCATTAATTAAATTAAATCAAACTTGGTACCATCCAAATAATAAAACAGGGAAATTAATATCAAGTAAGTGAAAAAGTATTAAAAAACAGCAAAAGAATAAATAAGATCATAGAGGGAAACTATATTCACTTCTCCCCTAAAGATATAGGCAAAGCCTTTGTGGATTATTATGAATCACTGTATAATCTTCCAGACACCAAGATAACAGGGGAAGAGATCAACCGCTTTTTGAATAAAATATCATTACCACGATTAACACAGGACATGATAGACTCCCTAAACGGACCAGTTACATTAGATGAAATTAAAACATCAATCCAGAATCTGCAGATGGGCAAAACACCCTGTCCAGATGGTTATTCAACAATCTTTTAAAAAAAAAAGTATAGAACAAATTTCTCACACCTTAAAAAATTTGATTAACCCCTTAAGGACACATGACATGTGTCACATGTCATGATTCCCTTTTATTCCAGAAGTTTGGTCCTTAAGGGGTTATTAAAGAAGCTGCCAAGAGCTTTTGAATTACCTGCATAAGATTTTGCATGTAATGCTTATTAGAAGTAGGTATTTATTCAAAAGCCCCAGGGTTACTCGTGAGGATTGTGGACAATTTATTTGGGGTATGTGGTGCTGACTTCCTGGCGGTTATGAATGGCCATTTTGTTTTGTGCATGGCGTTGAAAAAGAGTGCTTATATTTCTGGTGTCTGTCTGAGCACCGGCCTGAGGTTTGAGGGTTGAGGTTTTGTGGATTGCTGGAGAGGATGGTGGGCAACTTATTTGCATAGTTGTGGGGTATGTGGTGCTGGCTTCCTGGCAGTTATAAATGGCCATTTTGTTTTGTGCTTGGCATTGAAAAAAAGTGCATATAAATCTCTGTCTGAGCACCAACCTGTCTGTGGAGCTGTGGAGCTGGTAAGATATAAAAAGAACTAGGCCCAAAACTTGCGGTGTTGCCTCTTTGTCGATGCTGCATATAAAAAAGGCTTTGATTGATGGGATATGACCCCCCAAGGTAAGTGCTGGCAAATCTCAACAAGAACAGGTGAAAGTAGGGAAATATTTGGCTCTATAAATCGAAATGTGTGGAAAATGAGCAGTATGACGTCCTCTAGGATCCATGGTCAAGCTCTGTGCCCTCTCTTCCTGGGATTTTTTATAGTTTGTTTAACAAATTATTATTTAACAAATATCTATTTTTTTTAATTGGGAAACATAATACGAAATATAGAAATCCAAGCCTCCTTATCTTGCAACTGGGTACCTTCATTTTACCTCTTTGCCAATCACTGCTGTAAGCTCTGTCCTTTACAGAGGACGTGGTAGTCAGCATGGAGAAAACATGCTAAAAAGATGAGCAATTAACAATGTTTCTATTTATCGTCCTCATTTGCAATGTCTGTCCTAGTTTTGCCTTGATAATCAACTGGATTATGATATCATTTGCAAAACCTTTAATATAAATTTAGAAGAAAACTGACCATCTTATGAAAAAAGGCTAAAACAAGGTACAGGTGATCTTTAGTTTGCTATTCAATTAAGTTATTTCCAAGGGAGTGACATTTCCCTTTTAAAGGGCCTGCAATGTGTCTTTTCTGTGCAAAACAGAGAACTGTTAGAAAAACTTACTATTCTTTTTAAATATAACAGACATGCACAGTGATGTTATAGGTTAAAGAATTTGAGTAAGTGTTGCATATGAATCATTTAATCCGATTTTATTTTTGATTGCTTGTAACTACAAATTTCAGTACACTACTACAATGGTATTTATAGAAAATTACTCTGCCCAGTTTATGATAATTGATTTCTTTTTTTATTTAGCATCCTACACCAATTTACATAAAATACCAGTAATTAACAATTTACTTTAACATCTTCGAAATGAGAAGTGTTTGAATGATATTTTAATTAGAGAACACAGAGATAATTTTGTATTACTTTTAATTTACTTTTTTAAGAGGACTCTAATTTTATTAAGACATTTCATTTTTAAAAAAAAAAAAGTTTATTTTAAAATGATATCACTTATGTTGTGAAATGTAGGATCTGCAAAGAATATTACATAAATAGATGCTGGGCTGAATTGTAGCACTATCTAAAAAAAGTATATTAAACTATTTGCCTTTACATAATGAAATACATTTTAAAAAGGAGCTCTGGAAACAATAATAGGCATTCTGGAGTCCATCTCCCAGACCATATTTTTTTCCAGGTAAGGAATTACGAGCTCCAGACCCGAGTTGTTGCTGATACATGAATTCACATGATTCTACAGCCATCTATTGCATTCAAATAATTATGGGAGTTGCAAACCAT